GGAGAATCTGTCTCTATAACGAAGTACGATGCAATTTCAATTTACTAGTAATTTGGCTGGTAACAAAATCGCGTCAGCGCTCTTGAAGGGCCAGCCACTGCGCTCACTTTTTGCCAAAACATGTCGCGCTGACTAAGGGCTTCGACTCAACATTGCCATTCATGTTTGTGACAGCAACTCACGAATCACTGATGGTTCAGAGTAAGTTGTTGTGGACAGGACTGAGTTGCTTGTCCTCACAATCAGCATGCTGGCATGTCACAAACAGTAAGGTCAATTCCTCATGTCGTCACACTTTGTTGGGGTTATAGACAAATATGATTTAAATTTGTAATTTTCTACATGGCGTTGAATTGGGTTGGAGAATGAAAATATGTTTTTGGGTTTTCCGAAAATTTTCTTGCTTTTGAAACTTCTTTTTCTGAGTGATTCGATGCATCTACAAGAACCATGGCACTTCGCTGAAACTGTCGACGACATTTGCGTATGCTGGGGTATCGGGAATGATGTTTCGCTTGTTCAATCGTTTGCGAAGATCATCGATCGAATAACCAACAAGATGCATATTGCGCACGCTGCCTCCGATACTACTTGAATCGGATGCCAAATCTGGATAGAGCAAAAACATGGATTTGTAGGCGAGTAAATGCGCATACATCACCAACGGTGGGCGAGACACCGAACGGGTTGCACGTTGGTGTGAATAACAAATCGAATTGACCACACGTTGAATGGAATCGCTCGTAAATTTGACATCGTCATGTAAGACGGTGTACTTGCATGGACGACAACAACCGATACCAGTATGTGCTTGCAGGTAAAATCTGTTGAAAGGGAAATGTCAGTCATGGAATGCATTCATTCAAATGTGGAACTTACTCGAAAATGTAGGGATGCGTTACAACTTGATCAGTAACGGTACCTGCCGGTAAATTTCCACTCCCATCTTCTCGACAGAGGTCTCTTTCATCCAATGCAAACATACGAAGATGATGCTTTTTGGTAGCGACGACGTAAGTGATCTTCGGCTGATCATCATTTGCAGTATTCGTGTCTGTGCATGCTTGTTTCAATTGCGTAACTTCAAATTCTTTCACTTGCGTATATTCGCTTTGCGAGACTCCATCACGAAAGACGATGATACTTTCGGGCAAATGACCGCCATTGAACTTCTTCCAGCTGTTGAGCAGACCGATAAACATGCCTTTGCCATCTAAAACGGTTTCTTGTTGATGGCCGAGGTTTGGATTGAATTGCGTGCTGATTTGACTTCCAAGGCGTGTGCCCTGACCGTTCAAAGTGGCAACGGCAGCAACCACACTGTCATGCTGTAATCGAGAAGGCGGGTGTCGAACATCGATTCCGATCATCATTGTGTTCTGTCCAATCATTGGGAGGTCTTTTGGATTGGGCAAGAAATGATTGAAACCCGAAAGCTTGTCGTTGATCTTCATGGCAATGTTGCTCATGTACTGCGCTTCTCCACGTTCATTGTATAATGCTTTTCGGACATCCAAACATTGCGTAGGAACGGAGGTGAAAAGTTCAAAAACTGAAATGCGCTTGATGTTTTGGTACAATTCGCTCGAATAATCCATAAAGCAGATGATGAGTTGTGGAATGCATTTCTCTGCAGAGATTATAGGTGGAGGAGAATCTTCGTCAGTACTTCCATCTTATTAGATTAGCAATGCATACTCACTACCACCTTCTTCGTATGCCCATTTTGCAGCATTTTGGATGTTTGCCTTCAAGTCAGCTTGATCTGTGTCGATGTTCATGCAACGAATATTTCTTGCTGAGATCTCCATCCCATACTGACGACATTTATTGAAAAGCTTGAGAGTAAAGTGTTCACATTGACGCGGATCTTCTTTGGTGAAGTTCAAAATGACTGGCGTGATCAATTCAACTCCTCCTCTCAAGAATCGAGTAGAACGCAAATTCCATGTCCCATTGACAAGACGATCAACGTTACCGTCTCGATAAGCAACTTGAGGAGGAGACAATTTACGAGCTTGCAGTTGAACCGGTTCAGGGCTGACTTCAATGCCCCATGTTTGCAAAGTTTCATTCTTTTCGTATTCACGTTCTTTGCGCCATTTAATCGTGTCTTTCAAGCGATGTTCTGGTGTTTGTCTCGTGACTTGCAGCATGCGCTGGAAAAGGAGTGATGGTCATGTCAGCAAAATCTCAAACAGGTGCTTCCGTAATGCTACTTACCTGTACTTGCTGCACGGAGAGCTTGTGGGGAGGAATGGGAGCATTTTCAAGGATCACACATAACTCCAAAGGACTGGATAGAGGTAGGTTAATGTCAGTATCACAAACAAGTATCAATTCACCAATTCGTACTTACACCCATTCTTTCTTTTCAGTGTTGAATTTCGAGTCTTTATTCAAGATGGCGCATGGTAAGTGAGGAAAACGTAAAGACATGTTATACTTCTTCAGATAATACTCAGCCACACTCAGCTCTTTCCCGTTCATCATGAATTTCTCAGCTTGTGCAGATGCACCGGTGAAACCTCTGAAGCTCTTTGCTCTGGCTTGTGGACGATGGCTCAAACCAATCTTGACATTTCGAAGCGCTTTACGTAACTTCTGCAAATCTTGGATATTAAATCGAGGGATTGCATCACCTCCATTCCCACCGTTTCGTTGATGCGCATTGAAACCATGTCCATAACCGCCACCACGCCCAGGATGCATTGGAGCACGATTATTGTGGTGCTTTGGACTGTTATCCAAGATCTTTGCCGCCACTTCCAAAAATGGGCCTTTGGTCATGAATGGGCTAAAAGCCAAGTCCAGATTGACGAACAACCCACCACGCAAAGGAAGAACGCTTTGAAAGAAACCGCACCAAACTTCTCCTCCTTGCGTGATATCTTTTGCTCTTGAAGGTTCGAAAAACTTTTCATTCTTCAAAGAAATGCATCGATCCAACGCATCCATTCGAAAGGCGATATTGAATACTTGCAAGAATCGGCCAACGGATTCACTTGTGGACTTCTGAGCTGTTTGGACGAAATGTGGTTTGGCTGAGAGGAAGTCTTTGATCACATTGATGTCGAATTGCGTTGTTCTCTTGATGATCATCGTAAGACGTTCATCTCGCTTCAAGCCATTGAATCTTGGCACATCAACTTCCAAAAAAGATTGACCTGGCGGGAAAGGAAAGTTAGTACAAGTAAACGCATTCTTGGCACCATCATAAACAATTGCATTGCGTTGCTCTTTTGTCAATTCGTTCACGCTTGCTAATGCCAGCTTGAACATTGTCAGCATGATTGGACGTTTCTCAATGAAATCACCAACGACCGCCTCAGCGTCAGGACCAAGCTCTTTCGTTTTGACAAAACGAATGTCAAGTTGGGTAATTTGCAAATCAGGATTGAATCGAGTAGAAAACAAGTTTGACACGATCGCGATCGGTTTGCCTTCACGACCTCCATTGTCAGGTCTTTGAACGGCATCCAACAAACAAACTGAGGAATAACTTTGCAGTTCACGATCATTTCGACGAATGGCTCGTTGCATAGGATCCACAAAAAATCCCTCTGCCCGATTCATGATAAATAAAGTCAATAAAAAAAAGGAATGCAAGCTTGTTCTTGTTTGGCGACAAAAACTGGGGAGGGGAAGAACCTGGTGGCAAGAGGGAGAGAATGTTTTTGACAGGAGGTGGGCTTTTCAATCATCTTTTGCAGCAAAGTCAACTGAACTACGGATGCTGAGCAAACTGGTGGAATTCGTGATTGCAATCAATCTCAGAAACAGAAATGCGCCCGCTCTTGATCGGAGCTGAAGCCCTTTTCCTGCTCCGATATAGGATTGTCATTTTTCGTGCTGCTTGCTGGCTCGGCCACAGCCAATGATACTAAATTCGTACTGTTAGAGAAGAAGTAGTGCTTGACTTGTATACAATTCCAAATTTACAGGCAATCTTTCACGACGCTTTGTGTGAAGCCAGGGAAGAGCTCAAGAGCATGATCCGTACAAGGTCTACCCTCAGACAATCAACATGCTCGCCTTTCTCAATGTATCACTCTATCACCACATTCAGATCAATCGCATGTATTAGTATATCTTATAGTTGAAAGCGGATATGCACAATTGGGAAAATCGAAAGATTCAACAAGACTATGTCATCTTGAATAGACTATTCGCCCTTTTTGCTCATTCCCTCCTTTTAAAGAACCTCATCGGCGTATGGCAATTTGTGAACGTCACCAACTGCAACTGTTGTGGCCTTTGTCTTCAATGCTTTATCAGCAGCAGAAGCCAAACTGGAAGCGCTAACACCGTCAATCTTACTGAATGTTTCCTCTAGCAATTGAACCTTCTTTCCTTCCAACAATTGTCCTGCAACGGCAGCATGAACGCTTGCACGGGTTTCAAGTGCAGATGCAGCTTCAAATTTGGCCTTTGCTTTTGCCTTTTCCAAATCTTCTTTTGATAGACTTTTAGAGGTATCCTTGATTGCTTGAGCTGCTGATTTAACAACTTGTTGTAATTGTGCGTGTGGAGCGGTAACGTAAACACCAAACAATCCAGAATCGGTAAAGTTGATATTGAATGCGTTCACTGTTGATCCTTCAACCGATTCAGCAACCTTGCTCAAAGGTGATAATCCGCTAGACCATTTCACCGAACTTTCACCTCCCAAATGCGATCGCAAAATGGCCAATTCAGGAGATGCGTCCACTGCACCACCTTCGAAAGCCAAGAAGTAATGTCCAAAGTGCGATCTGGGGCTGTCATCACCATGGTGAGGAGTGTAAGGAACACGGGCATCACCGCCAAAGTATTGTTTGCTGCCGGCTTCGACGGCTCCCTTGCTTGGTGAAACATCCTTGAAATGGGTTGAGACCAATCTTTGCAATGCATCGGACTCGATTCCACTTCCAACGACGGCAATGTTGTCCTTTGCAAAAACGCTACGGGCGAAAGCGACAGATTGTGAGTAAGAAACAGGGCTGGAAGGAGAAGCAAAGAGGGAAGCACCCAATCCACGTTGACGGTAAGCGGTTTGTGTTAGAGAGTCGTAACCGAGAACGTTTGGTTGGTTCAAAACGGTTTCATATTCGGCTTGAACGGCAGGCAAAACTTCTTCTTTGAATTCGTGACTGGCGAATTTTGAAGAAGAGAGAACGTCACCCAAAATTTGAACAAAGAAATCTTCATCTCCACGCAAGAATTCTGCAGTCAAAAGGAGATGTTCTTTTGATAATGCACTGCTCAAAATACCACCGTTCAATTCAGCTTCACGTACGATTGCCAAAGCAGAACGTCTTGCGTTTGATTTGAATGTGAAATTTTTCAAAACATGGGCAACACCTGGAGTTGATTCGAATCTTGGACCAGCTTTAATTGCAACAGTGATTGCTGCAGTCTTTGCACCTTCTCCTGCTGAAGCTGCAACTGGAATACCTTCTGCTTGTACGGTCGAAAATCCTCTTGTTGAACGTCCAAGAATTGATGCACCTTTACGTCCAACGTTTGAACGTACAGCAGAAGCTGTTAAAGCGGAAGACCTTGCGGCGATGAACATGACCGCTTCGAGTATAAGATTGTGTTGAAAAGTCGGATGGTGAAGGAAGGATGAGAGGTATGTATGACAATTCACTTTTGAAGAAGAACGGAGCACGCTATTAATCTTCTCAAACTTGACTACACGCTTTTGATAGCAGGTGTAACTAACTGCCAAATGCCACACACCTTTCGCTACAATTACGCCTACAGCAATCTTTCTTTTACGCCCTTTCATTATTCCACTCAATTCTTCTTAACCAATCGAATCGCACAGGCACGCGCCCACTTATAAATCGGATTCTGTCTCCCGCTTAAAGGGCGAACGCGAATTCTTTCTTCCCTTCGCGCCTTAAAGATATCTTTAGCGCTTTGCCGGCGATACCCGTGCACGTGTCATACAACTCTCACCACTCACACACGGCGGCAATCATCAGAGTTAGGAACAGCAACATATCGTGATGAGAAATGAGGTACATGCAAGTATGAAAAGGGTATAAATGGCTACACTGGACCTGCTTGCGAAGCTAATGAACCGCCAACCTGGTCATGCGTGATGGCTTGATGCGAAACGCTGTTGTCCCGGGTGAAAGTGTTTCCACTACTGTCTTCATAGCTGTACGACGTCATCGTTTCTCCATATCCATTGGCCGTGGGAGGATTACCCTCAATTATTGTAACAGCAAGACCATTTTGGGTCATGTCAACTTTTTGATTCAAAGGCTCTTTGATCGTTGAAGCGATTGAAGGGCCGTACGAAGTGGAAATATGGTAACCATGTTCTAGGGTTGTGTCGTTTCCTACACTGGTCAGATTGAACGGATAAGAGAATGTATGCGCTAATACAACCTCTCCTCCATGCTGAGATGTGAACGATCCTTCGGCTTCCTGCAAAGTAGAGCTAATATTTTGCGATAGGTCGTTCACGTTGCTGTATGTGATACTTTGCTTCCAGCTAACAGGGATCGGTACTGGACTGCTACCCAGCTTGATAGTGCCTTCGATCAAAATCGTGCGTGGTTGATCGATCGGTGTTCGGATACTGGCAGAAATAGTTCCATTCTCAGAAACGTTTCCTTTCACAACGTTGTTGCTTTCGTACTTTCCTGCAGCAGGAGCGATGTACTGTGTGATACTACCTGTCGTACGCTCGTTGGATGAATCCAGTTGCACTTGCACGTTACCTGAAATGAACCAAGCAAGCACAGTCTGATTTTGTTCAGCCGACACCACCTTTAGAGCAAATTCATGCTCTTGGTCATCCGTCAAGGTGCCCAAGAAAGGCGTAATATCAATCACATATGTTGGTTGATCAAATGCACCATAGGCCACTTGTGGTCGCCAAAAGAAAGGACTGATACCACCTGTGAAAATTACCGGGAACGGCTGTGCGATTCCTGCCAACTTGCCGTCGATCAGAACTTGTAATTCCCGCAATGGACCGCGTGGATAAGCAACTGCATTTTGAGCTCCTCCAATTTCATTATATACTGAATTTGGAATGTTTGTATACCAGAATTCATCTTGTGCCGTTCCACTTGCATAGATTTCCACCAGGGCGGTACGGGCATTGTGAGGAATTGTTAGTTTCGTAACACCTTCACTTCCGTCCAGATCATCACCAAGACTGAAGAATGCGTTTGCATCAGTCGTCTTTTTCGAGAGAGGAAGGATGGTTGGGTAGGATTTCGATAAAGGCTGGAACTTGCAATTATTGCCATTTGCAATATATGCGGTCAGCGTGATCGTATAGTCCAAAGGTGAAACATACACATCATTCACGATGTTAGGAAGATCAAAAAGTAGAGTACGATTCGTTCTGAATAAATCATAGTACTTATTCATCTCCTTTGAGAAGTTCCAATTTGTGCCGTTCACACTTGGCTCTTCATTGTCCGTTCGTAAAACTTCCACACTGTCCAATTGAACGGATCCTAAACGGTCAAATTGTCGACCTTTACCGTAGCCTGCAATGTCCAATTGAATAAAGACCCATTTGCTTGGGTCTTTGAAGTCGTTGTCGGGTAATAGAGAAGGTGAATATTCCATGATGGCAGGATGACCATAACTGTTCACAAAGCTATGCTTCAACAGCACGACTGAAGATGCTTTCACGTTGTCTCGATCAGGAACAATACGAGGAGGACGATTGATCTCAAAGCCTCGATTGGGCTTGCCTTCTGTATTTCCGCTTTGTCCGATATTGTTCAGTTGTCCTGCAACTGTTTGTGATGATTCAGCCATGGCTGGTGAGGATGATCGGAGGAAGTAATGTGCGAATCCTTGAGCACCGGGGATGAGCGAGAGGGGGTCTACGACTTTTTTGAAATAAAAAGCTTTCTCCGAAAAGTTGGTCAATGGTGTTTGTTGACCGTAAGAGACACTAAGAGAGATTAGTGTAACGAGAAAGAAGAAGAATGTTGTCAGTCTTGCATTCATGACTGATTTGATAGAGATTGCGATGTTCAAGCAGAATGATTTGTGCAAATGGTATTGATGAGAATGAACAGTTTGCGATCCTTACATTGTCCAGTTGAAGTTGTTCAAATTGATGCTATGTGGCAATGAAGATAAAGAATCAATTAAACCTCCTGAAGGATGCTATTTGCCGCCCGTGCACGCTACTGCATGAGATCCACTCCAACAGGCGGATTGCGCTAAAGACTTCCCCTCCTTCTAGATTCATTACCAGTTTTGATTAATGAGGTACGCCTCCTAGCAAAATATCCTCGTTTCTGTTGATTGCGTACCCAATACATCAGAAATGCCGTCAAAATCCGCCGCTGGAGAAAGGTGAGTATTCGTGCGTTGGTTGGGCGAAAGAAGATTTTGCGCCGTGCTTTTTCTTGGCTTCATAGCTGACTCTCCCTGTTTCCCATTTAGCCCACTCTCCTCGCAATCATCTTTGAGTGGCCCTCCATCAGAAAGTGAAGGTAAAAAGAGTACGATGAAACGCAGTACACGTGGCACACGCGTGATTGGTGATAGCGATGATGGTGAAAGCGAACAGGAACAAAAAGAGGAGGTGGAATCAGCTGTAGATGAGGAAGAAGACGATGAACAAATCGAGGAAGAGGAGGAGGAAGATGACGACGATGCAGAAGACGACGACGACGAAGCTGACGAACTTGAAGATGAAGAGGATGACCAAGAAATATCCACAGTATCACGTTCGAGTAGATCTTCAAGACGAAAAGGAAAGAATGCTAAATCATCCCCTACAAAAGGAAGAGATGTACCAACAAGAAGAGCAGCAGCAACTGCAACAAAACGATCAGCAAAATCACAAAAAGAAGTTGATGAATCGGATGAAGATGAATTGAGCGCAAGTGAAGAAGATAGTGAACAAATGCAAGGTACACCAAGTGCTGCTTCAAAATCAAAACGGATCACATTGAGGCTATCCAATTCAAAAGGTTCGAAAGGGAACGGCAAAGATGCAAAAGCCAAAAAGGGAAAGAGCGCAAAGGCATCCTCTTCTCGCAATTCACGTGCATCTTCCAGCAGACGAAAAGATGATGATGACGATGATGAGGAAGAAGAGGAAGACGAAGAAGACGAAATGGAAGAGGATGTACAGGCAGGCGGTGAATCATCAGAAGATTTCGAGAACGACAATTCATTCATGTCTTTGCCCAAGACTGCACGTCAATTGGCAAAAGAACGTGCCGCACAAGGAATTGAATCACCAGAAAGTGAAACAGTTGAACCATTGGATGGACAAAATGATGAAGAGACAAACAAACGAAAGTTGACCGAAAACGAACTTGCACTTAAACGATCAGAAATGGCGAGAAGGAGAAGAAATCAAAGTGAGAAAAAGTTGGAAGACGATAAAATTGAAACGATCAATAGGTTATTGAAGAAACAAGTTTCGAGAGGCAAACGTGCAGGCGGTGAAGATGAAGGCTCAGAAGGAGAGAATGAAGAAGATGGTGACGGAAAGAATCCGGAGAAACGTGCAAGACGTCAGCCTACAGCGTTGGAGCGTAAGCAACAGCCAAAACCATTCTTCCGTTACATCCAAACGATTCATGGTACTTCTTCACTCAGTATACCCATAGAAAAAGCGCCAGAGCCATACAAACAAAAGTATCAAGAAATGTTTGGCATCGCCACTCAGCAATGAAGACACACACACATAAGACAAAGTATAGAGTTGAGTCTTTTTTTGCATTTCAAAAACAGGAGGAGAAAAATCACGAGAAAGGATCCTGCATCCTTTCCGCTTACAATGTACAGTAGATGATGGTAGAGCGAATTTTGTATAAGGTTTTCATAAATGAATGAGACATATCACCTAATGGAAGTTGAGTTCACATCATAGGTAATAGGGAGACAGCCTTCTTAAGCAGAAGGTTTCTTGATGGAAGAAGTGTCCCGGACACCAGGCAGAGGGAAGCTTGTTGCGAACTTTTCAACGTCTGCGTGTAATTGTTTGATGCCTTCGTGTGATTCGGCTGCTTTCAAGAAGTCGACCAATTTCTTACCAACCTTGCTTTGGATTTCAAGTGAGATATCAATAACACGGATCAAGAATTCGGCAACCTTGTGCATATCGCTTTCCTTCATTCCACGGGATGTCAATGCACCCATACCCAAACGAACACCACCGGGTGTCATGGCAGAAAGATCTCCTGGAACGGCATTCTTGTTCAAGGTAATGTGTGCCAAATCACAAATCTTTTCAATCTTGCTTCCGGTCAAAGCCAAAGGACGTAAATCCCACAAGATCAAATGGTTGTCTGAACCGTCTGTTTGCAATTTGTATCCTTTTTCGTGTAGCTTTTCAGCCATTGCACGACTGTTGTTGATGATTTGTGTGGCGTATTCCTTGAATGCTGGGTCGGCAGCTTGCTTCAATGCAACTGCAATACCTGCGATGGTGTTGTTGTGTGGACCACCTTGGCAAGCAGGGAAGACGGCAGCGTTGATCTTGCCTTCCATCTCGGCATCTTTGTCCTTGCGGTAGAAGATCAAACCGGCACGAGGACCACGCAAGGTCTTGTGAGTGGTTGTGGTGACAATGTCACAGTACTCGAAGGGGTTGCTTTGAACCTTTGCGGCAACCAAACCGGAAATGTGTGCGATATCGCTCATCAAGTAAGCACCTTGACTCTTGGCGGTTTCAGCCAAACGAGCGTAATCCCAATCACGAGGGTAAGCAGATCCACCAGTGATCAAAAGACGAGGCTTGAAAAGATCAGCATTCTTGTGCAAACCTTCGTAGTCAATGATACCAGTCTTCAAATCGACTTGGTAAGGGAAAGATTGGAAGTAAATGGATGAAGCACTGATCTTTTTCTTGGCAGTGTAGAAACCGTGTGTCAAGTGACCACCGGATGGGAGACCGAGACCCATGATACGGTCTTGAGGGTTCAAGATAGCTGTGAATGTAGCAAAGTTGGCAGTTGAACCAGAGTAAGGTTGAACGTTGACACCCCAGATTTTAGGGTCCAAATCGAAAGCCTTCAAGGCACGCTCTTGACAAAGGCGTTCCAATTGATCGATGTATTCGTTACCACCGTAGTAACGAGCACCTGGCAAACCTTCAGAGTATTTGTTTGTCAAGATGGAACCGTTTGCTTCCATGGTGGCCAAAGAAGTCAAATTTTCGGAAGCGATCAATTCCAAACCTGAGAATTGACGCCATGTTTCATTTTCGATGATTTGTTGTACTTCTGGATCGGCTTCAGCCAAAGGTTGGTACAAAACCTTGTTGTAATCGTTTGGTAAAGCGACAGACATTTTTGTGATTGAAGATGAAAATGATCGTGCAGCAGCGGCTGGCAAGCAGATTTGACTACGCGAAATGAACGAAGAAGCGCAAGGAGTGATGCAGCGGGCTGTACGAATGGAAGTAGATGCTAATCGACTGTTCATCGATAGTTGCCCAAGATAAGATGATGGAATCAAGGTAAAGCTAGGATAAGCAGGGAATGCTTATGTTTCTTCTCAAGGCGGGACCAAGTTTTTTTTTTCTCTTTCTCTTTTTATGCATTTTTCTCAAAGCTTTAAGCAGACGTGCCCTAGTGCAGCAGCAGCATATGAACTGTCAAATGTTTAATTTATTTTTCATCACGCCACGAGCTCGGTCCAGGTCGCTGAATTGTATGCACTGTGTGTATGACTGGGAAAGTACTCAGGGCCCCAAAAGCGGCTTTGAATGCGTGTTTCCGTGCATGACTAAACTCAAATTATCTAAGAATCAAAAGGAATTATCGGCCAAATCAGCGACGAGTTCCAGCACCTGCTTAGTCAGCAACACTCCTAATTTAAAAATAAAGCCACCTACCTATTCTGATGATGTCGCTTGCTTGACAACACTGCTTTCATCCATCATACCGCCACCTCCTTCAGGATGCCGCGTGCAGAAGCTGGCTCTTCAAAGGCAATCGGAAATGCGATCAAAGCCAAAGGCCTAACAAAATTACGATTCTACTGTCAGATATGCGAGAAAGCATGTAGAGATGAAAATGGATACAAATGTCATCTCGAATCAGAAACGCATATGCGTCAAATCTCAGCACTTGGATCGAACCCAAACAAGGTGATTCATAACTTCTCAAAAGAATTCCAAGATGGATTTGTGAACTTGCTCAGCAGGAGATTTGGAACTGCCAGAGTGAATGCGAACAAGGTATACCAAGAATATATCCAAGAAAGACACCATTTGCATATGAATGCGACCAAGTGGGTCTCCTTGTCGGAATTTGTCAAACATCTGGGTCGTGAGGGGATCGTAAAAGTGGAAGAGATTACCGATGAGGGTCAACACGGATGGTACTTAACATGGAAGGATAATTCACCCGCTGCTCTTGCACGTCAAGATGCTCTGCAAAAGATGGCAAGGGCAAAGGTTGACGAAGAAGGAAGAATGCGAAAGTTCTTGAATGGGCAAATTGAAAGGGCGAAAGAGGAGAATGCTACCAAAGAGACAGAAAAGGATATAAAGCTACAAGAAGGTTTGCAAAGGGATGAAAGTCGTGCGCCACTGAAGATTGGCATTTCGCTGAGCAGCTCGAAGCCGAGTTCTGCAAGGAATGCGACAGATGGCGAAACAGAAGATAAAGTCTCTCATAAACCTCTTGCTGCTCCCTCGGCGTCCGACTCCGTACCCAAAAAGCCGCTTGCGAACCCTTTCAAGACGATGAACAAGATTGTACCTGCTCAAAAAGAAGCACCTAAGCTTGGCGGTGGATTCAAGATGTCTTCCTCCGGTAAAGCTCCCCAACAATCATCACGACCTACTTCCACTACTGCAGCTGAGAAGATTATGGCTGAAGAACAGTCAATGCGAGAAAAGCGTAAGGCGATGGGTCCACAACCTAGTGCAAAGAGGATGAGAATGTGATTAATGTGTATCATAGCAACAATCTGTATTAAAACCTGTAACATTATAATCAATCTGTAATCTTGTTCTATCAGAGTATCATTGAGAGAACGATCACGGCTTTCTCATCATTTTAGGACGAAGCCTTTAAAAGCACGCGCCTAAGGCCATGTACGCCTCTTACGCGCCGATTAGGCTTTCTGTGCTTTTATGCGGGGGCAGCTGACTGTACGCCGATTCCGCCTTGTTCAAGGTAATTAATTGTTATGTTGTTGTTAGATTCAACCTTCTTTGCTACCATAGGATATACCCCTGGCAACAATTTGACGATCAACTGCCATCATTACAAGACTGGGGTACAAGAATCCCCAAAACATTCAATTCGACCCTTTTACCTGAACGAAAGTATGATAGAATCAAGCCGATCAAGGACATGCTAAGGGTAGAATCTCGTTAGCAGGAATGGATCAGATAGCAACGTATGATGCTTCTGCGTCAGAATTAGATGATCCTCAACGGTTTTGGGAAGAGGTAGAGGATCTTTTGAATCCTACCGCTGTAGAAGGAGAAGAAGAACGGACACTACAAGCACGACTTACAAGCTTTTATGCACTTTGCGATGCATCTTACGATACCCATTTGGATCATCCACAAAATTCCGAATATCTTCTTTCCCGATTAGTTGAATCACCTTTATTGCTACAATCTCCTATTGATGAAATTGCTGCATCAGTCACGTTCTTGGCCGTCACTGCAAAATCATTACCTGTTCTACTGCTCACTTACGATACCCTCCTCAAGCTTTCTGTGAGGTATTCCGATTTGTTCAAATCCAGTCCAGAAGCTAGACAGCTTATACCCAGATTGGTACATCATTTTTGGGCAGCACGATATGCAGAAGAGTACAATGAACGAAACAATGCAACCCCAGCCGCAGAAGAAGAGGAAGGTACCGATCATCCCCTCTCGGATTGGAACATCAAGCATGTTCGATCTATATCCTCTGGCGATACAGGTAGGCAAATGACCCAACAACGTGACAGATATATACAAATAAAGCTGCGGGAACGGTCTGTGCGATTGTTGTACGAAATATGTCGATCTCAGCGACTGGCTATGGCGGATATGAAATCCGTCGATGCAACGTTTGTCAATCATTTGTTTGACTTGGTGGAAAATTCGCGAAATTGGCATGACGATACATACAATTATCAAGTTATCAAGCTCATCGTGGCCTTGAATGAGCAATTTATGGTCTCTGGTATCTCGACGATAACGAACAAACAGTCCGCTCGTAAATCAACCGCAAGTGCTTCGAATACAGTTCTGACAGTACTTCGAACAAGGTTGAACGCATCAAAGACGTTTGGTGAGAATGTCATTTTTATGCTCAATCGTGCTTCCAGCTTGGATGCTGAAGATATTTGCATGCAATTATTGATCTTGAAATTGCTCTACCTCTTATTCACAACGAAAGAGACATCGCATTATTTCTACACAAATGATCTGAAGGTGCTTGTGGATATTTTCATGCGAGAGCTTTCTGATCTGCCTGAAGATCATGAATCGCTACGACATACCTATCTGCGTGTTCTGCATCCTCTTTTGACCAATACGCAACTATTGACGTATCCATACAAGCGACCACAAATTCATCGACTGCTGATTGGACTCACTTCGCATGGACATTTGCGTGATATCAGTGCTACTACTCAGCGACTGATAGATCGTTGTCTCAGCGCTCAATGGTGCGTGGACTTGGACAGGCTAGATCCAAAGAAGGCAAATGATGCAAAGCTACAAACGGGCGAACAAAATCACATCTTTTCCGTTCAAACGATCGGTGGTGGACCGGCAACATTAATTCAAGCGCCAGCGATTTTGGATTCTGAAGGTGTTGTGATTCCTATGGATACGGATCATAAACCTTTCTTAGCCGCACCAAGCTCAAATGTGAGGACGGCCGAAGTATTAGCTGCTGTAGAACCTGAAGGTATTGATAGAGTATCGCATTCACGATCACCTACATTGACGTTGGAAGCTTTTTCGAGTGAGAACAATGCTTATGGCTCAAGTACACCGAAACCGCGAACGATTCGCATTCATTCTGTCGATGGATTGCCTTCGGATTTACGTTCTTCATTGAATGATTACAGTGGGGTAAATCATCCTGATACGTTTAGCGATACCGATTCAGCGTCACACTCGAACATAGACTCAACATCCTACGATGACGAACAAAAGCCAAAAGCAGTGAGAGGCCAAGGTCAATTTTCTGCTCCTAAACGTAATCATTCGGCGATCGATGTGACAAAGACTGGGGCAGAAACGGAATCGGAAGATGAATCCGGTCGTTGGGTTGGATCGCCTGCTGAGAGTTGGCATCAAAGTATGTCAGATGAACAGAATCACTCGGACGTTGCTCTCACAAAGACATCCGGCTTGATTGCACGATCTAGAGCTGGTTCAACGGCCGCTTCAACGGTCAATGTGGGCTCTCCGTTGCGTGATTCGATGACGGCGCACGATCTGCCAAATATGCATGTACCACTTGTTCATGTTCAAGAAGCCAGTCAAACACCTGAGCACTCCGATGATGGAAAGGGAAAATCCTCAAATAGCGTTTCCCGTCGCAGACCACCAGCTCCTCCGACACTAGATGGCCGCGGTTCAGCACGTCAAACACAGCTGAGAAGGTTGGGTCTACATGCTTCTCCATCTGAATCTACTTTAGTCAGACCGGGCGTCGAGGGATATGGATCGGATCAGGGCGGTCATCTTGCTGCGAGTGATGCTTTAGACAATCCACAAAGGGCGACACAGTTTAATACCGTTTCTACTCCTGCTACTCCTAGAGATGGGTCACAATCTGGCTCACGAGAGGCAAGTCGGGCTGGCAGTCCTATTCCACATGATGCATCCTCGAGCAGTGGTGCAGCGGCAGCGGCAGGAAGCATAGGAAGGAGGAGGAGACCACCACCGCCACCAGTGGATAGGTCGACGAAAATACGGCATGATGGTGGTGGAAGTCGACCGACATTACCAAATTCTGCTCCTCATCAAAGAGTGAGCTATGCGGAACATCCACGAGCACCACCGCAGGAGCACAATCCACAGCTGACACAGTATATGGACCATCTTCATCTATCCAGCGAAAGGGGTTATGGATGGTGAAGACAAAAGAGATGGACGTTCCAAAGGGGATGTCAATCATGTACTTTTCTAGACTATCTCTCAATATCACTAGTTAAGGCATCTTTTGTGTGAAGTGTGGGGCTATAATACATTAATTGCACACAAAAGTCATTGACATCAAGAATGATCTTGAGCGGCTTTCAAATGTTGAAGTTCAGAGAGTAGAGCTAAAACACCTCGAGCTGATTCAGGATCTTGAGAGAATGCATTTGTCCAAAATGTTCCCAAACGTGTTTGCACTTCCGCTTGCTGAACAGCATCAGCAGCATCTGAAATAGAAACGGCACCACGCATCTTGCTCGCAACTTCAGCGAATGAAGCTTTCAATTCTTCTACGATCAAATCCACTTCCTCTTTTCCAACTGGAGATGATTGTGCACGTTCCGAGCACCAATCACCCAGTCTTCTCAACAAACAATCTTCCTTTCCAGCAAATTCTCCATCAGGCACCAGAATCGCACGTAATGAACCTGCGCCTAAATTGCGTAAACCAATTATTGCTCCTAACTTTGTTGCCGCACTTTCTCTTGGTCCTTTATTTGCTCTTTTTGGTTCTTCTCGGCTATCATCACCATCTGCCATTGAAGTATCAACTTCTCCTTCGCCACCAGAATGAACACGACGACTAGCTTTCGCACAACCGGCGTCCAAAGCTGTCACAATCGTACGTACGATACGTGGTTTGAGCGTAGGATAGGTAGAGCTGTACTGTTGGATCAACCTTGCTAAGATTGAAGCGGCATACAGACGAAGGACATACACCTTTGAAGGGTCAGGCGAATGTCCCGAAGAAGCGGTGATCAAAATCGTGATGACATATGGCAATAGTTGGTGCACATAAGGTTCAATACCTAAGTAGATGTTCGAAATCAGAGCGTCAATGGTATGCAGCATTGGCTCTAGTACCTTCTCGTCACGTAATCCATTTTGTACCTTTTCATTGATCCATTGGATGAGATATGGAACGAGTTGATGCAATCCCGGATCTCCACGTAGACTTGCCAATGCAGCATCTCGAACCGTATTGCCGGATGATTGAGGTATTGTCTTCTCTACATTGGAGCTGTCACTTGGTTTTGCTTCTGCAACAGTGCTATCTTTAGGGCTTCCATTAGCCATATCTGTATCCACATCCACACCATTCTCCTTCGTCTTGCTGGATGTTGATTCATTCTCCCCGATCAAACCTTGTCGCTTTGCACTTTCGGAAATATCTGCATCTGTAGGTGGATCCAGAATTGAGGTTGTGATGCGTTCAAAGTACAGTTGCAGTTCTCTTGAGAGTACATGCTTGATCAAAGGTTTAGCAACCGGTTGACCTGGCTTTCCACCACTTAGACCTGCTGAAGGCGTATTCAAAAAGGCTGATGCACCACCAGGCTGTACCATACTTGGACCAGCGGTAGAGGTAGATGCCGTCATGGCACCATTAGCTTGTGTGACAGAGACTGGGTTTTGTGGAATAGCAGGTTGAACGCCTTCGACTGCAAGCCAATGTGCTGACCATCCCACACCCGGACTTAGAGCAACTTTTGGAGTTGTGTCCAATACCTTTTCCAAGTCGATCTCTTCGTCTGCTACGAGGTGGATAGGCCCTGTCTGTGTTTTTACCCTTCTGAATGTCGATCCAACAGGCGTAGGATATGCTCCTGATGCACTTGCTTTTCCCAATGTGGTTGGATGAAAGCCAAAGATTGGCTCGATGTTTCTTTGTCGTAGTGCTCTATCAATATCAGCCACACGTAATTGAGATCGTTTGCCGTGTCGCATGAATTTGCTTGCATCTTGTACAATCTGTCTGATACGATATTCCACATCTAAAGCCAAGACAGATGCAACAGAATCCTTTAACGGAGGCAGACTTAGTGATTCTGCGACATCTTGAACGCTGTCTGTTGGGTAAATTGCACTTGTAGATGAAGATCCTTGTGCTCTAGGCAATGATGATCCATTGGTATCTGTACGAGGTGGCATGTTGTTCAACAATTACTTCCCCAGTAGACAGATTCCGGATGTATGGTTGTGATGGTAGTATATTGATTCAATCTTCCAAACATAAAGATGGTGCATGCACAAAACGCCCGCTTACACGTGAATGTTTGTAAAATGTCACTGCCAAGAAAGGCGAACGCGTTACGAGGCTAGTGATTGCAAGAGATGCGGAGAAGAGATGTACGTACGTGCTTAAGATAATGCTCGCGTGGCTTGATCAACTGTCACTTCTTACAAACGACGATCATATCCTCAATCATGTTCCGATCAAGGCCACCAATTCCTCAACCTGCTCGGCCATCCGAAGCCACAAATGAGGTGAACTACCTTTCAGCACATGTACAGCAACTGCTTGCAATGGTTTTACCACAGCCAGTGGTACAAATCTTAGCAGCCATTTCTGATGCATTGTATCGTGCTGTTTTGGGACAATCAAATGATCCACCAACGTACACTTCAACCTTGGCGCCTCCTGCGATCTTGATCGGTGTGACCTATCTGGCTATTTTGCTGGTGTACAAATCGGTTCGGTCATTCATTGGCATGTTGATCTTTTCGTTGAAATGGGCGGTAATTTTGGGCGTGATTGGAGTTTTGGTCGCATATCATTACGGAAACGGTGACGTTCAACAAGGTGCACAAAGTTTAGCACATCAAACAGGATTATCTTCATCCTCTTGGCCGAATATGCTTCGAAATTGTGAGTTTTAACAAATCAGTGAGCTTCCATCTCATTGATTCAAAGCTTATCATGAGAGAGAGGTTTAGAACTGAAGGAATTCCTTCTCCGTTTATTTTTGCCTGTTAGATATACCGTACTGAGCCGTATTGTACACATGTTTGTATACACTTCTATCAGATCAATCAGTACAACAAATTGCCCCTTTGCTTAGCAATTTGGGACTCTACAATTCCAAACCGGCCAGAGATAGCCCCTCAAATGCTTGGGCAAGCAGTTCGAGCGGCGGCGGCGGCTATTTTGGCGGCAGTTCCTCGGATAAACGTAATGACCATGTTCGAGAATATCGTGATTTACGTCCTTCCAATTATGGTGGTGATGTTCAATCTCCCTACAACAATTTCCGCGCAGGAAGTCCAAGTACACCTAATCAACAAAACACCAACACGGACGATATCATAAATCGATTCTCACGATGGATGGGATCCGATCAAGTTGGCGCTGGCAAGAAGAAGGCGTAAATAATCTCAACGAAACAATTCAAGACTCTCAGCACATATCACATCAAACATCAATTGCTTCTCATCGTAGTGTATCATAAATTGCATTTCATTTGTTGCCCTATCTTTTTTTCTCTCAATATTATTGTTTCGTACCTGATTTCAATGTAATGAACTTAATGACCCACCACCTGATCCTCCTTTTTTACGCCAGACTTGATCTTCTTTTACACGGCGCCGGCGTTTGTTTCGGATGAATGGTGGTAATATAGAATTCCTCAGCCCTGAATGAAATGAAACAAGAAAGGGTTGTTCAATGATCATTTTATTTCGCTCCACTTTTGATCAGGAGGTTTGTAACGTTAGTAACAATACTGCTGTTCAGCTTTAAGGTGTGCGGATGAGCGCGCTAACACCTTCACAGTCACACAAGCACACACACAAAGTTATGCAGTGCAAAAACACATCTGCCTAGGCACATTTTCAGTCTTTCATCTAAGGATTTGCAAAAGCCCAAAAAAAATACTGTATATCAATCAAACAAAACGCATGAATTGAAAAGCGCTGTTGAATAAAAACTCAAAGGTCATCTTCATCTTTACCATCACTTCAATCGCATTGCACACACACCAGAGATGGATCTTACCAATCTCCGGGATAGCCTGGATTCATCATCGCGTGAACGTCATCCTGCTCGTGCAAGTGCAAAAAAGAGCGAATTACGATTGACAAAGGACTTTAAAGGTGTGTACCTGAACAGATTGCTCACATTGAAATCATACTGACCTGATCCCATTCAAATAGCTGCTGCTTTACAACTAACGACATTATATAGAACATCATTATCGGCATCCAATCGATCTTATGCTACGGGATATGCTCAGTCATTATCTGACATTCTCGATGTAGTCTTGCTTCGACTTCAGCAACCTGCTGCTACTGCTCCCGGATTTCAACGAGGCGAATCATCGAATTCACAAGGTGATACAGACAGAGAAGAGCTGAAATGGCTGGTACGCTATCTGCGTGCTCGAATTGAGGCAATCAGGGTAGAAGGAGAAGAAGAAGAGAAGGAGGAAAGCGAAGAGGAGGATGTTGCAGAGATCGTTCGTAGTTCTCAACCTGTTTCACCAGAAGCAACACGAACGAGCATTGATGAAGCAGTTCAAACCAACCAACAACAACAAGCAGCATCGCAAGATTCCTCCATGCAAGGTAGCCAACATGATGCACCTACTCGTTCCAACTTCACCTTTTCTGCTCCACAGGATTCAGCTCCTTCTCTTTCTACCGCCAATAGAATGCGACGTGGACGAGAATCAGGCGGATCAATGCCCCGACCTCCGTCAAATACTGTTCATCAACAACAGGGATCTACATTGCTTACGCCTCCTACAATGGTGCGTGCTTCGTCCTCAGATGATGAAGACAACATGCGTCAACGAACGCCAACGCCTTCACGTAGACAATCCAATCGATTGGGAAAACGATTGAATGGACGTGAAAAGCTGAGTGGATTAGAATTGTTTGCTCGTGCTCAAAACGTGAAGAGAAGAAGAGGATTAGGAGATCGTAGAGATGATGATGATGGACTTCTATAAAGGGGGTCTATCTCGTGACAAGTTGTTAGAAATATCAATGTACTTTAATCTCAAGCAATGTGTACTTTATTCATATTCATCAATCAATTGTATATGTGAAATCTCATCACAATTAAGCGATGGCAAAAAAGGGGGATTGTGTTAAATGATACAAAGAGTTTGAAAAATTCTATCGATCGTTGATTGGACTTTTATACGTATACATCTTCATCAAAGTCATCCATACTGAGCGTTCCAAAGCCAGAACGAGAAGGATTGATGACTTTTGCAAGGTATGCTTCACTTTGTGCGAGCGAACGTTCTTTTTCTTGTAAGATTTTGCTCCAATGTTGACCCTCTTTCATCACATTCATCAATCTTAAAGAAGTTTCTGGACCGTTTGCAACGTCGACATGCGATTGTTCAAATTGAACAACCACAGATGCAGAAGATGATACAGTCTCACCTTTGTAGGAAGCTTTGATCCATTGCATCTGTTGGGCACGTTGCAGCGCTTCAAAGATCTGCTTGCAAGCTTGTTCGAGCGGAACGCCCAAGTCCTCTTCGATGTGCAACAATTTGACAATCTCGCCAATCGAAATGATTGCGAAAAGTTTAGACAATCTAGCTACCCTTCGTGATAGATAAACTTCAACGAGTGATTGCACCAAACCAAAGTTTTGATCACGTTCAAAGATCTCTTGTTTTTGTTGCACGAATTCTTGCAGATTCTGTACAAGATTGCGCTTTGAGCTCTTCTTTGTTTCTTGTTCATGAGATGCGGCAATTTTCAATGAGACCTCATTCGTATAAACTTTAATGAATGAGTGATATGCTTCTAGATTTGACAAATTCCCACGAATAGCCCTTGTGACCGCTTGTGAGGTGAAAGTAGGCATTCGAGATACGGTACCATCTTTCATCAGTTGAATCAAGATGAGTTTCTTGTATGCATCAATTTGGATGGCAGATACTGCTTGAGCGGGTGTGGCAACGCACTGCTGAAAAAGCGTAGCTCCTTTTTCCAGATCGCCCACTTTTGTGCAAATCATTCCACCATAATAAAAGTACTCAAGAACATCCGAGTATACCAGAGGCGTCACTTTCGTATCAGCTGATACTAAATCGTACTGAAGTATCCAGTCCATAGCTGTTTCATAGTGCGCTGTTTGAAGGAGGTGGTACAGAACGACGACATGAATGACTGTCAGATTGTTTAGACCTCCTTGAACTCGTCTAAAGGCGTCCATGATGCGCAGCAGAGAAGGATTTGCCCAGACCAAATCCTCGGAAATACGAGCGACATTGACGATTCCACGAACGAGTGTTGTGACCGCATCTCCAGCACCGATCCATTGTTGAGAATCAAAAGATCCTGCGAAAGCAGCAATGACTGGCATAAATGCTCTTGCTTCTTCTTGCGTTGTACATTGAGCAGAACGAACACCCAAAATGAACGTATAGCCAAGAGTATTGATCGCTGGATCTAGCATTCCAAGCGGATCAACGCCATCTTGCAATGGTTTTCTGAATATTTTTTGTCCTTTACCTTTTTGTGAATGAAACGTCTTTAGCAATGATGGCAGCAGCACAGTTTGAACATCATTGCTATTTGCTGGTGTTGATCGAATTGCAGATACGATGTCATCAATCGAGCTGAACGGAGGAGCTTCTGTGCCTGCTCCTGCTGTATTGCCTCCTCTACTATTGTTTGATCGGCCTGAGGAGGGACCAGCTAATGTCTGCTGAGTCATTTTGAAGATGAATGTGGTGATGAAGGTGAATGTGTACAAATTCCAATCATGAAGAACATCATTTGTCAAGAGTCGAATACGCATTGGCCACTCAAGAAAAAAGCCTGCAAGCCTGCATTCTGCATTTTAACGCGTCAAGGTGGGGTTGTTCTTCTTTGGAGAAGAAAGAAAAGTGTTGCTCTTGCCATCATCATCATTGCTTCTCAATATGGTAGAAGTCAATCTACCAGATTGGATTGAACATCCAATCATTGATGATAAAAAACGAAAAAGGCAAACGATCTTCAGTGTTCATGTTCACCCTGATGGCAGTCGTCTTGCAACAGGTGGGCTAGATCAAAAAGTACGCATCTGGGCAACAGAACCAATCATCAATGCAGAAGTTGAAAAGCAAAAAAATGCAAATAGACTTTTGTCTGCTATGTCACGTCATACTGGATCTGTTCTTTGCGTGAGATGGTCACCTTCAGGTCGATTCTTAGCTTCAGGTTCAGATGACACAATTTGTCTTATATGGGAATTAGATCCTACTGGATTGGGAGGTGGCACGTTTGGCTCTTTTGGATCGCGTGAAGATGAAGCAAATGTAGAAAGTTGGAGACCACATAGACGTTTGGCTGGACACGAATCTGACGTTGTCGATTTGGCATGGAGTACAGACAAAGAAGATAGCTATTTGGCAACCGTTGGACTGGATTCACGTGTGATGGTATGGTCGGGTCCACGAAATGGTCCTGGTTCATTTGAACGCGTTCGTGTCATTACAGGTCATCAAGGTTTCGTCAAAGGTGTCGTTTGGGATCCTATCGGTAGATATTTGGCTACAGCATCGGATGATAAAACGATGAAATTTTGGCAAGTTGGAGGCGATTGGAGTTTGCAAAAGACCGTCTCTAAACCGTTTGAGACGAGTAGATCGACATTCTTTCGTCGTTCAAGCTGGTCTCCCGATGGTGTCCATGTATTGGCTGCAAATGCAATGGTCTCTGGATCCGTATTTGTGGCTAACGTGATCGATACGGAAGATTGGAAAAGTGACGTTAGCTTGGTCGGACATGAAAACGCTGTTGCAGTAACTGCATTCTCTCCTCAGCTCGTTTACGATAAGGGAGAAGATGGACAAGATTGCCTGACGACCTTGATGGCACTCGGATCACTTGATCAAAGTTTGAGTGTCTGGCTAGCAGGACACAGAAGGCCAATCTGTGTAGCTCGTGATCTTTTCCAATTACAAGTCATGGATCTCAGCTGGTCTTCGGATGGAATGACGCTATACGCATGCTCAGCAGACGGATACATTGCGTGTGTGAAATTCACTGCTGATGACTTGCAAGTGGCACCAGAGTCAGAACTGCAGAAATCAAGGGATAGAATGGGATTCGCAGAACATCAAAGAAAGTTCCGAGCATCAAGATCTTCAGGACAATCTATGAACGGCGTAAATGGAACGTCACACGGTACAGCCGACAGACCAAATATGCTTGTGCCACGAAAAGCTGGCGTGCCCAGAGCTGCTCTCACTCCTGCCGTTCCCACACCGGTAAGCTCACAAACTTCTAGATTAACACAACAAATCACTCTCACCCGTGACGGTAAAAGACGAATCAGACCTACCCTTCTAAACGGAAGCCAAAGCACAGACCATTCGTATCCCTACGGAGGCTTGTCTTCTGTTGATTCGAATTTGTCGAGCAGCAGCGTTGTGGAAGTCGATCCGGCCTCTTTCCCACTCCGTGGCGCAAAGAGAACAGCAAGTGCTTCTTACGGCGATCAAGATGATTTGCAAACGCCCAGCACGAAACGGATCAAAGATGTTGGACGTACATTGGGAGGAAATCTTACACGCGAACAAGCAGGGCCTTCAACATTGTTACGGTCAGACGTTCATGCTTTGTTGGCAAGTATGGGAGCAGGAAAAGTTTTGCCTTCACCGGCCGTGCTGAGCTCGTTTAAACGTGAAGAATCAGTCGGAACAATCGAAGTGCGCAATTTCGAAGCTGCTAGGCCGACAGAGATATACTACTTCGATGCAAATTCAGAAGGACGTGCTTCTTGGATGGATTTCTCCAATTCTGCTGCGATTGCAGCCACTGTCAGCGATAAATTCTCTGCAATTGGATTCGAAGATGGTTCTGTGGTTGTATACTCGCCTAAAGGTAGGATATTGGCTAATATGCATATCGAAACAACATGTCACAAGATGGAAAGCCAGAAAGACTTTTTGGTCATCATCACCTCGCAAGGCCAATTGAGAAGATGGAATGTCAATACGAACAAGGAAGTGCATCGACCAATTTCCATCTTGTCTCTGTATGCAAGCAAAGTGGGACATTTGCAAGAAGATGAGATTGCTCACTTTTGGGTACATTTCAATGGAATTCCAATCATCATTATGCGCAGCGAAAAGGCATATGCATTGGATCCAGAGAGAATGGCATGGACGTTAATCTCGAGCGGTTGGTTCGCTGATTGCAGCCCTGTTTGGGAAGGTCGCACTCGTGCAAGAGGAGCATCGATTGATGCGAACAGTGGAACGGGAAGCACTCCTTCATCTAGACGTGATACAGTTCGAAGAATTGAGAGTACGATCAATGATATGGTCATCATTCAACGATCAGAAACGGGTATTCAACCTTCGGTCAAACCACCACAAGACAGGTTGGAAGAGTTTGATGTGGCAATCACTCTGAAACATCTGGAAGCACGATTCAATGCGGCAGCGTTGCTTGATAGTCCGTCAGAGTACAAGCTGCATTTGACAAGTTATGCAAAGAAGTTGGGTGATGAAGGTATACGTAATCAGGCTGAAGAGCTATGCAGAAGTCTGATCGGACCATTATACTACAATCCAAACGAACAACCTACATGGAAATCGACCGTTTGTGGGTTACAGAAGCGTGAAGTTTTGGTGGAAGTTTTGCGCAGTATGTCAAAGGGTAGATTGTTGTTGGGATTGGTGGAACAATACCACAAGCATTTGAAAGATATTCAACAATCCTGGTAAGGCTCGTGAAGCCAATTTGTACATTAGTGTAAACAATGTAAATTATCTATTGATTTGATCGAAAGATCTGGGTATTGTGATACAGTTAGAGAGAATGCGTACTAATACAAAGAGAGGGATGGTAAATCTCATCATGTACTCTCAAAGCCATGCTGAGAACGCCACGACCGGATCCATTCAACGATTCTTTCTACATTAGCTTCTACGTCGTCGTTTGTTTCGCTTTTAAGTTCAACGATAGATTCGAGAGGGTATGCCTCGCGTGCTTCGTTCAAGACAAAGTTTGTGATTTCTGCTTCATTATTATCTTGAATTTTTGCCAAAGGATACTTTCTCTTTTCTAATCTGTCCCATAGCTGTTGATGATCGCATCGCAGCACGACCACTAAATCCACCCATCGTAGCGGGTATGCTTCACAACAATGCCAATCCAACAAGAGTCCTCCACGTTCTTCACTTGTATCATCACTTTCACGTACTTGTGTTGTACTTTCTGCTTCATCATCTTCTGGTTCGGGTGCATTCTTGCCTGTCAAAGGTTCAATATAATCCAACAATGCATCTTCATCAACATCGTATGTTTGATAATCGGCATCCCAGCCTTCATGAAATGAACGCTCTTTGACAAGTGTTCCCACGTTAATATGACGCATGATCGGTAATGATTCGATCACCAATTCGCAATGTGTCGATTTACCTGTTCCGGGCGTGCCGGTAATGGCGATATTCGGCCAACTTCGTACCATTTTTCGCTTATTTGAGGAATGATAGTATAAGGAAAGCTTGATGCTATTCTCCATCAGAACCTTAATTTTGCAAGAGGTTGCCAAAAATTCTTGCTCACGTGCTAGCTCTTGCTTTAAGCGCGTCGTTTGCAAGGCACAGCTTAAAGACATTTACACGGCCCCCTGTTAAAAGCAGACGCGTCGATTGATCAAAGTTGTCCACCTTAGAGCGAGATCAACACTTGAGCCTGCTTGTGTGCTTGCATCAACACTTTGGGTGAATGCATGGTTTGTGACAACACTCCTAGATCATCATCATCATCATCATCATCATCATATCCATCATACGGTCCCAATACGTGCTCTCTGGCTCACGACAGTGCCAGCGGTAGCGATCATGCCGTCCACATCTGATGTGAACACTCTATTGGCCAACTTACCCAATTCCGTACCGGCAATCTTTCAACAGGCTCAATTATCATTGGCAAACCATCGTAAAAATGTTGTTGCTTTGCATAGATTACATGCTGCCGTTGCAACGATTCGTGAAGAGACTGATCGTGGAACAAGACTAGTGGGAGAAAAAGCATTCAATGATGCCTTCCTTGCTTGTTTGAATCGTGTTCTGGATATCAAGAGAGGTGTCTCGAATGCTGATCGATGTATCAAATTTGTCGCTGCTTACAGTACATTCACACAAACACAATTTCGTCAAACGATGTCAGATCAAATGGATGAAGGAGCCGATTCCGAAGAAGAAGATGAAGACGCTGATACACCTGCGACTCGATTCGTTACCATTCTTATACGACATCTCTTGCGCGGATTTGGAGCAAAGAATAAAAATGTCCGTTTGAGATGCTGTCAAACGATTGCTCTTTTGATCAACGGCTTGGAGTCACTCGACGATGATCTTTATGAAACACTCAAGAATGCCTTGCTCATCCGAATGCGAGACAAAGAGGCACCTGTTCGTGTACATGCCATCATTGCAATGGCTAAATTGCAAGGCGATGAAGAGCAAGAGGATGAGGAAGAAGAGCCGGACTATGAAGATGAAGAGCGACAGGATGTCACTTCACTCATCATACGTGCCATGCGTCATGATCCCAGCGCAGAGGTACGTAGAGCTGCACTTTTCAATCTTGTCCCTACTCCAAACACATTTCCTTACGTTCTTGAACGATTGCGTGATACCGATACCGTCAACCGTCGATGTGTTTATCTTGGCAGTTTGAGTAATGCAGTCCTTGGTCAACCTACATGCAAAGTTGACCCAACAACCGAAGATTGGGCACATATCGTCAAAGTCGGTCTAGGTGATCGTGAGAGTAGCGTTGTACGTGCAACAAAGAAGCTCATTGCTAGTTGGACAGATGCAGTCATGGGTTCTGGGGATGGATGTGAGAACCTTTTGGATCGTTTCAATCTTACTGATGCACCAGAAGCAGCCAAGATGACGCTCAAAGCGGCATTTGAAGCAAGACCAGCTCTACTGGATACAGTCAATTTCAACGAAGAATTTTGGCAAGAGTTGACACCAAGCAAAGCTCTGATCGCACGTGTGTTTGCTGAGCATTGCAAAACACTCGGTACAGAAGGAGAAAGGCGGATGGAAGAGACTATGCCGTTGGTAACTGCATTGGCTTTCCGTACTCAAGCTGCTTGGGGAACTTTGTTGGAGCAATTGGAAGTGAAGCAAGATCTACTCGAAAGAGAAGCAAGCGAAGAAGAACAAATGGAGATTGCATCCATCATTGATGCTCATCAATCGATCGTTGAATCACTCTTACACGTATCTATGCATTTGGATTACGGTGATGAAATCGGACGAAGAAAGATGTTCAATCTGGTTCGTGATATGGTCAGTAATGCATCCCTACCTGAGGCATTGATTGAGCCTTGTTTGGATGTTTTACGAAAGCTCAGTGCAGGACAAAAGGATTTCGTTCGTATTATTGTGGAATTGGTACAAGAAATCGAAGATGTGGTTCCTCCAGCAATGATACATGACAGCGAAGACGAAGATGAAGCCGAGATTGCAGGACACCTCAATGGAGATGAGCCAAAGGCACATCAACCAAGCCCTAGCCCAGAGCAAGTTGCAGAACAAGCTTTGATCGATGCACATCGATTGAGTATCATGGCAGGTATGTTGGAACGTATAGTGGGTGGAGTACAAGAGATGACAGCCATGCAAGGATTGGTTTCGCAATTGATTACTCCCTCAGTACAATCGAAATATGAAACCGTACGCGATCGTGCTTACAAATGTTTGGGTCTTTGCTGTTTGATGGACGCAAATCTGGCCCTGAGTACTTTTGGCATGTTCTTGCACGAGATCGGGAACCAAGTTGGTAAAACCAGACAGACCTTGCTTCAAGTCTTGTTCGATCAATTGACTACACACGGTATCACATTCCTATGTCAACCAATAATTCGTGAATCAGGCGGTACTCAAGAAGCTGCAGATGCTATACACAGTCAAATTGTCAACTATTTGTTAAGCTTATTGGAAGATGACGACAAGCAAATTCAAGCATTCGTTGCCGAAGGAATGGCGAAATTGATGTTGAGCGGAATCGTGACAGATGATGATGCTTTGCGCAGTTTGATTCTCGTTTATATGGCCCCGGAAACGTCAAACAATCAACAATTGCGTCAATGCTTATCTTACTTCTTGCCAATTTATTGTTACAGTTCAGCAACCAATCAAAGACGCTTGCAAAGGGTTCTGGTGCCTGTCTTGGACGTGTTGACAGATGTGTACTTTGAACGTGAAAATGGACAAGAGATGGTTTCTCCCCTACAAATTGGCTTACAGCTGCTTGATTGGTGCGATCCAGCAAAGGGAGTGTATGCAAACAAAACCGATGTTACCATTCATATCGATGTCGCCATCGAAATCGTTCAAGCACTCTTTCTCAAAGAGGAAAAGGAGGATCGCAAAGTGTTTTGCCAATTGTTGAGCAGACTTATCATGCCCGATCAAGATGCAATCACCAATGGAAAGACGGATGATTCGTTGATTGCTTACGCTCTGTTCATTTTGATCGGAACTTTGCAAAAAGTACGACCGTTGGAAGATGCGATGAGCAAGAACAATTTGGCCAAATTCCAATTGGCTTGCAAGCGACTGTACCCTACTTTGTGGTCAAAGCTTCAAGGAATGGACATTCAAAATGCACCAGAGCTCGATGGCGTGAGAGCGTTTGTGCAAGAATGTGGCTTTGATCCCACGAAAAAGTTAGACAAAGGGGATGATGGAACGATTATTTCGGAACTTGATGTGCGCAAAGGCAATTCTGCTTCGGCTGCCGCCTTGGCAAGGCGAACGATTTCAGCCACCAGTTCAAGAAGTGCAAGTGGTGCAAATTCAAGAAAAGCAAGCACTGGATCAGTTTCATTTGCTTCTAGTGCAGGAGGAGGTCAATCACGTAGAACAAAGGTCAAAAGTGAATCGGATGAAGAGGTTCCGACGATCGAACAAAGCATCATGGAAGAAGATGAAGAAGAGGAGGATTATGAGGAAGCTGATGCGACTGCGGAAACGATTCATGCATTAGCCTTTGAAAATGAAGATCTTGAAACCCTGTAATGACGCCATCCCTTTTTTCTTATCTTGTAAATTACCCACTTTCACACGGTTCAATTCATCCTTTTTTATTTTTAAGTGCATATGCTTTTACTCTTTTAGCGATAAAAAAAGATATCAACTACGGCTTTTGAATTGTGTGCTTTCGGTCCGAACAAAGGGGCGTCAATATTTGAGAAGGCCATGTTGTGTTCGCGATCGAGATCGTTTTCATTTCTTCTAAGCGAACTGCCAAAACAAAAATTGAAAAAGCGGCGCTCCGCGTTTTTGCAAAAAATTAAGTTGTTGTGCATACAGCTTGCATGCATGCGTGCGTTACGTACACTGTCAATTGAACTTTGACCCTGCACAAAAGGGAGCTAATGATTATATGCAACTCCGCTTTCTTTTGTGTGTGTTGTGCGCAGTGCAGTGCATGCATAATGAAAAGCATGTCAATGCATTTAATCTTCCTGTTTTGGACGGTGTCTTTTGTTGGATGACTGCAATTGTGCTTCTTTCTCATCAAAGCCACTTTGAAGATGTCCCTCATTCGATCACATTTGGCGTAAAATGAAGTGAAGCCGCTTTCTTCGAACGATTCAACATTTCGCATTCACCTTCAATTCATCCAACCATCGGGCGCCGTTCAAATCAATCTCGGAATCAAAAGGCGGCAAGTTTGGTGAGCAATCTTCTCAAAGAAATAGGTACTACACCCAAATACTCACTGTGTGTTCGCGCCCAAAGCTGAGCAATTCAGCGTGTTGAGTAGGGCGTTGATCGGTCAGGGAAGAAGATATATAAGAGGTCAACTTTGATTGCAATTTTCTCTTTTTTACCCCCCACCGAATTCCCATCAATTCTCCTTCTAATCCAAGCCCCTTACAAATTTCCAAATTCTTCAAGCCTTTGAGCAATTTCAGATTTCACACTCACAAAAGAAAGTCAAACCCACCAACCCCCCTCCTCGTTGCCATGGCCGCTGACCAGGCTCAAGAAAACAGAACGGAGCTCATCGATAAACGCGATTTGAACGAATACAGTTCATTCGCGCTTGTCGATGCCGTTCCACGTCCAGATGGTGGTGGCAAACAGGGAAAACCTGTTGGTGTCATTGCCAATTTATACAAAACACAATACAATCCTTCACTCAGCATAACACATTATGACGTTTCGATTGTACCCATGATGGAGGATGAAGCAGGCGGTCCACTCAGGCCTCTTCCAATGGACGGTAGCAAGCCGCTTCCGGCAGATGTTTTGTTTTTGGTTTTCAACACTGCAATCAGACAAATGGACAATCTTACAAGTCAGCAAAGAAAAGCGATTTGCTTTGATGGGCGCAAGAATGCGTACACTTGCCGAGAATTGCCACTGCAGCAAGAGACAATCAATGTAGAATTAGACCCAAGGCCTGACGCTGGTGGAAGACAACGCAGAAAGAGACTTTTCCGTGTCAAATTTGCCCGTACAAACGAATTCAGCTCCGACATCATCAATCGTTTCATCCGTGCTGATCCGCAAACAATTCGATCATCCGGTAGTGCATTTGTCGAAAACTTGTCTCGTGTCCTTCAATCTCTCAACATTGCATTCAGAGTGGATGCAATTGAAAAGTATCGTGCTCACGGTGCTGGTGGACGTCGCTTTTTCGATCCGGCAAGAGCTACACCGATCGCAAATGGAGCGGAAATTTGGCGTGGCTTCTTCCAAAGTGTCTTGCCGTTGAGAGGCGGACTGTTCCTCAATTTGGACGTTGCATTCAGTCCATTCCTTTGTCAAGGTCCATTTTTGGAAGTGGCCGCCAAGATTTTGAGTCAAGGAGGAGGTGGCGGTGGCGGTCGTGGTGGACGAGGCGGCGGACGTGGATATGGTGGTCGTGGCGGGGGTCGTGGTGGTTATGATGGAGGTAGAGGCGGAGATGCTCCGCGACCAATCACCGATCTCGGTCAACGTGAAATTCATCAATTGCGAAAAGTTCTACGCAATGTGAACATTCAAACGACTCATCGACAAGGAGGGAAGCTGGAAAAATTTAGAGGCTTTACCCCAACTTCAGCCCAAACAACAATGTTCATGAGAGATGGACGTGAAATCAGTGTGGCCAGCTATATGCTCGAAGCTTACAACATTCGCCTTCGCCACCCACACCTGCCATGCCTCATACTTGGAGGCAAAAGCACTTTTGTCCCTCCGGAATTGTGCACCGTTGTGGGCAATTCACCAATCCCACCTCAGAAGATGTTACCAGGTCAAGTTCAGGAGATGATCCGGCACAGCGCTCAAGAACCTTCAAAGCGCTTAGAGGAGACAAATAATTGGCGTCGTATTCGTAATTACGAGGCGAACGAAAAGTTGACAAATTGGGAATTGAACGTTGACAAACGTCCGGTTGAAATGCAAGCTCGCGTGTTGCAGCCACCACGTTTGGCTTACCAAAGAGAAGTCCAACCCCGTGACGGAAGTTGGAACTTGCGTGGACAACGGTTCGTGTCTTCAGGTGTGACCTTGGTAACTCCCGTCATCATCAATTTCACCCGTGAAAATCCGAGAGCATGTGAAGATTTCATTCACAAGCTTTTCGAACAGTGCTCCAACCTTGGCATGAATATCAGAGCATCCAACATCCAATGCATCAACGAACAACCGGACCCAGCAAGAATCCGTACCATCTTCACTGACGTAGGCAAAGCTGCCTACCACGCAAGCGGAAGTCATACACCACCCCAAATTTTCATTTGTTTCGTTGACCAACAGAACGATATTTATCCGGAGATCAAACGTGTGGCTTGTATGGATCTGGCTACCACCGTCCCAACGCAATGCCTGAACGCTCGCAAAGCATTGAATCCAAAGGGGCAAGATCAATACCTCGGCAACATTGCCATGAAAATCAACATCAAACTTGGCGGTTGCAATCAAGTCTTGCCTGATCCTCGTGACACACCGAAGATTGGTCAAGAGACTCAGGCGATCGGTCTGGATGTACAACACCCACCTCCGGGTCAAGAACGTGAGAGTATTGTAGCTGCCGTTTGCACGTTGGATGGTGCTGGCAGACGTCTTGGCAACCAAATTGTCACTCAGTCCAATCCACACGGCCACCAACAAGAAACTATTCTGAAAAGTGAAATTTTGTTCACCAAATTGTTGCAGATGTGGAGAAAGGCCAACAATGGTAACTTGCCGAAAAATGTGATTGTCTTCCGTGATGGTGTTTCGCAAGGAGAATACATGAAGGTGTCAGAAATCGAGGTCACCCAGTTGAAGAAAGCCTGCACCAATCCCGAATTTGGTAAAAATTACAATCCCAAGATTGTCTACGTCATCAACACAAAACGTCACAGAACACGATTCTTCCCTAAAGATCAACGTGACGCTGACAGAAGTGGGAATTTGCCGGCGGGAACGGTCGTTGACACAATGGTCACGCATCCGTACATTTTTGAGTGAGTTTCGAACCTCTTGATCCACATGCAGACATACTCACCCTTTTATTCTTTTCCGCATCAGATTCTACATCCAAACACACGCAGGTCTCGTAGGCACAACAAGGCCATCAAAATGTGACGTTCTCTTTGACGACCTTCGCTTCACAAGTGATGAGATGCAACGGCTCATCAATTCGTTGAGGTAAGTACAATGCTTTCCTTTCGCATATGCACAATACTGACCACCTTCCTTCCCTCAGCTACACCTATCAACGGGCAACTCGATCGGTCAGTCAAGTCCCAATGGCCAAATATGCTCACTTCCTTGCGGAAAAAGCCGGTTATCTCTTATTCTCAAGTTCGATGTCAGATACTGAGAGCACCGTCAGCGGCGGTCGTAGTGCGCCCCGCTCGACTGTCGAACAAGTCATAGAGCGGCTCAACAAAGACAATGGTAAGTAGCAATACCTTCAAAAGTGGCTTTTCGTGCACTGACTTTGAGACACATCTTTGCAATACCCTCCCTCGCAGGTCGCTCCTCGCTGGTCAACCTTTTCAGCACACCTTGGTTCTTGTAATGCTGGAAGGCAGTTTCGGTTCGGTTTCTCTTCTCATCCTTTCGGTTTCATCTTTTTACATCGGTTCTCATTTCGGTTTAATCTTTTCACATCGCCTCATTTCAAGAAAAGCAGCATAAAGCAAAAAAATGTTTCGTTTCGATTATTGTAGCCAAAATTAGTTTAATTAGTTTACCACCTAACCCGTAATTTATTGTATATTCCACCAAATTCTTGTGTGATCGTGTGTTTGAATAAGTTGAAGCGGTACAACCATGATGGTATCCAACTGATAGCCTCTAAACGCGCATAAGAATTTGACGCGTTGGGTGAAAGTGTTATTTGTGCGTGTTGATTGATTGCCAATTTCGAAGAAGTGAGCTAAAACCTTGATCAGCATCACCATCATCTGAAGGAGAGCATTTGATGCAACTCATGCTTTGCCAGTCAAGATGCAGAGCCATCATCGACCATCACATCTTTCTCGGCCATCAGGATTTCCAGGTTCGTCCAATGCTGGGCCCAGTTCCCTTGGCCAGGTAAGCGACTTGCCAACCCACTTGCCTTCCGGTGAACCAATTCCAATTGGAGATCAATTGATGCAAGTAGATCAAGCCATCACATTGACTCTTCAAGAGATCGATGCAAATTTCGCAAAAACACATCAAACCATCACTGGTAGGATATTGCCGATGATAAAACGATATGGTGTTGCAAGTCATAATACATGGCAAGGAGCAAAGTTTTGGCATAAGTTCTTTGAAGCAGCAAGTGATATTCATCTTGCACCACCGCGTGAACAAAGTACGTTTGATTCAACAGCTGAAGGCGAGGAGGTGGAAGGGGAAAGGCATGCCGAAGAGAGAGATGAACAAACGTTTGATCGGGATGATCAGTCAATGCAATCTTTTCAAGGAACCACACCACGCGGAAGGCAGGCAGCTGAAAATGATTCGTATGACATTCAAGATGATTCAGGAGAGCTACGACATAGTCACTTTGAGCCACCACGAGTCTCAGATGCCAGTATGGCAGCAACAGCACGCCTAAGTCGTACCGGACTAGGAGCAAGCCAAAGTGGAAGAAATCTTGAACGGATGATGTACGACGAAGACGAAAGTGCTGACTTTGATCAAATTGGCGATGTTGATATCGATCCGGATTCCACAAAGACAGCCAGAGGAGGAAGTAAGGCTGATACAATCCGTGCAACAAGCTCGAAACCTCCCAAAGTACAAGCAACTCCTCGTCGCGATTCAGCAAAGAAGAATCCGTTTGCAAAAGGTGTAAGGCCACCACCACCACAACAGCAAGCTAGTACGAGTAGTAGTGATACAGATGCTGCGAAGAGATCTAATTCACCCAGATGGAATGGAATTGCTGATCTTCGTAAAACACCATTATCGCATATCAATCGTAGTCCGGTACGCAAAGGAGCAAAGGCGGGTAAAGGTAAATCTTCTACAAACATCGATGAAGATGACGAAGACAGTCTTGCTTGGCCAGCAGGGATGTCACCACCGGTAACGATGCAATTTTCCGTTCCGAGAAGTCGATATAACAAAACGCCGGCAAAAGAAGCAGCTAAATTGGTCGTTGATGATCTGTTGCGAACGGTGGAAGGTACAACACCTGCAGCAAGACGAAGGCTTATGCAAGAGAGACAAGGAGGCAGAGAAGATGCACCGGTCGGTGTTCGATCAAGGGCGATTGAAAGAGTGGAAGTGAATGTGGCGGGGAATAATGTCGTGGGAACTCCTCTGGGAACAGGAAAGCGAAGGCCTAACAAAGGACGTACATCAATGCCAACCCCACCAACAGTAACAAAGAGGGTGGGAGGAACGATTCGAGCATCTACATCTACGCAGAAGGAAAGTACGCCGAAATCAATGTCCAACAAAGTGCCATCAACAGCTTCAAGATTGATGGATGAAGATGAAGAAGGTCAAAGTTTGGCAAATGATGAAGTGCCGGAAGACCTGGGTACAGGTTTGAGTAAATTGGCAATCACTAGACCGGGAGCGGCTGATGGAATGGATAAGCTGTTTGAAGGAGATGAAGATGATTCGGATAATGATATGGAAGACACCGACTCAGAAGATGAAGAGGATGAATATGAAGGGAGTGCAATATCATCTGTTAGAGCACCTGGAGCGTTCCCGATGAATAATGCATCACATACTTCATCTTCCATCGCATCTGTCAGTCATAGTATCGATGAAGATACCTTGTTTGGCATTCGCGATCCTTCCTTTGGACCAAAGGTACACAAGGGTGGACCATCACAAACACCCGCGGTATCAAATGCTTCCAGAACAGGAAGTGCATCCATTTCTGGACAAGGAAAGACAACCAATCGTCCCTTACCTCATCAATCTGCAACTGCATCACACGTAGCAGCAACTCCATCAAATAATTCATACAGACCTATGGGTCAAGTTGCAAACTTAGGCACAGTCTATCGTGGACGGCCTCTGCTTGGTGAAGAACGAGATGATACGTATAGTGCACCTAGTCCAACACCTGCTGCTTATTCAGGCGGAAGGCCACCAGGTCGCTAACAAAATGATGTAAGAAAACGGGACAAAAGCATCAAATTACAGAGTGAATGAGAAAAAATGTTGTAACATGTGTATGAACGAGAGACGAAAAAGAGCATGATTTGGTCTAAACGACAATTTTTGTGTGCACGTATCATGCTTCAGTCTTTGCCTTTTTAGCAGAAGCAACTTGAGGTGGACCATCTGATCTTGGACCATCTCCTTCCCGCTTACGTTTTTGATCTCCGCCGTTACGATGACCGCCTCCACGTCCACCACGACCGCCACCGCGACCACCACCACGACCGCCACGGAAGCCACGACTGCTATGGCCACCGAAGTGGTTACGGATTTGACCTGGCTCTGCTTGTTTCAGTTCACGTTGATCGATCAAATATGCTGCACGGAAGTTTGCCCGATCAAGGTAGAATTGTCTTGCTCTGTCTTCGTCAACGCGAGACCACGTAACGGGTTGGCCACCAACTGTGATCTTCTTTTCGACAATTTCGTCAAATTTGGCATCATCCAAAGTGGATTTGAAACCGACTGCACCTTCAACAGCTCCGGTTGGGAATTCGACGAATGAAGTAGGATGCATAGTGACTAAAGTATCTTTCAAATCTTTCCAGTTTCCGCCTTCGCCTGCTCCTTTGAATGCGACTACACTTTGTTGTGGGAATTGCAATTGTTCAACATCAACTGTACCATCTGGTTTTGTGGTCAATTTTGTTTCCATAAAGTCAAATTCAAGAGGCAATGCACGATCTTCTTTGGCTTTGCGACGTCTTTCTTCTGCTTCTTCTCTCTTGTTACGTCTCTCTGATACTTGTTCACCTTCTCCCAAAACAGAAGGTAGACCTTTGGCATGACGATCCATCTCTTTGAATGCGTTGAACTTCTTCTTTCCGCTTTGACCGCCTCCGAGACCACGTTGGATGGAGTTAGGGTCGATACCCTTCTCTGCCATCTTCATTTGACAGTAATCATGCTTGCTCATGATCTTCAAATCAGCTTCTCCAAATTTGATCTTTTGGTCTTCTGGAACGTCATCTTTTCCCTTTTCCAAGAAAGCGTTGAGCTCATCAGCATTGGCGAATTCAACAAAGACGCTTCCTTTGAATGGCTTCTTCTTTTCTTTTGAATTTTGATCACGACGCATACGAACGCTATTAATCTTTCCGAATTGATCAAAGAATGCTTCCATTTCTTTTTGCAAAGTTTCAGATTCTTCCGGAAATCCTTTTACGTATGCACTTCTATCAAATTGATCATCTTTTCTGACCAATTCATTTGTTCGTTTGATCTTATCACCTTCTTCGTTCACTTGTAAGAACGTACTTGTTCGCATCAATTCTGCAATTTTTTCTAAACTGAGAACTTCTTTGATCGGTCTCATACGTTTGAAAGTTGCAATTGTGGCCAAAGGTACCCATCCTTCTGGATCTTTTTTGCTTAAAGTGAACAAGAACTTATCGGTTGGAAGGTTTGCATCACTGAAATAGAATTCAATTTGTTTTTGGCATTCTTTTTCGGCTTCTTCGATGCTTAAAGGTGCACCATTGCTCGTGCTAGCAGCTACTGGAACATCTTCAGCTTTGACAGCAACATCTTCTGCGGCCATTTTGTCGTTATTTGTGGTATTGATGGTGGGCGGAAGCAATCAAGTGTGACTCCATTCGTAGTGAAGCAATGTACTCCTTTATACATTTCATGCACCACTCACTCACTCCAGATCTTCCTAAACTTTTTTTCCTTGAGAAAAATTATACCAAAATGAATGCACACTTTGAATCAAAATTTTGATTAAATAATTTTACGGGTGCATAAACCCATGCAACACGCGCCAGGCTGCAGGTTGGCTCTCAACAATCACGTGATCACACTCTCTTAACCTCACAACACAGATGACCGATGACGATGATGGAATTATAAAACAAATGTACATGGAATCATTATGGGAAAAAGGAAAGACATTGAAACAAAGACAAACTCTCATGCCTGCTTCAATTACCCCAAAGACTACGTAAATCGGCCAATCTTTCACGGCCAATAGCTTTAGTCGTACCACGACCATTCATAGGTGTTAATGCATCTTCTGCATCTTTTGCTAGATCTCGACCGGCTCGCATTCTTGCTTCTGCAGCGATCAGATCAGAAGTGATCTTTCTTGTTGCTTTCAATTTACCTTCTGCTGGTTGTTGTTGCTGTTGCTTCATATCACCTCCTTCTAGGGATAATTTACGAACGGCTGGAGGTAAATCTGCTTTGGTCACTGCGATGTTCTCTTTTGCTGCCCCATCAGCATTCTTTGGAGATGGATCAGAAGCTGTGAATACTGCACGTGGTATGGTCGTATTGACAAAATGAGGTGCACCACTGGTTTTGGCTGTAGGTGACATTACGCGATTCTTCACAATCAAAGGTTGACGTGTTTGAATGGTTAGCTTTTGAACGGTTGGCTTTTGTACAACATCCACAATGTCCTTCTTTTGAGTTTTGCCTTCAACCTTTTCTGTTTTGGTAAAATCTAATTTGGACCCTGCACCAGATCTGACTGCCTTTGGTTTTAAAGTTAAAACGGGAGTTGGATCTTTTCCTTCACTTCCATCAGTTCCTTCTGCAATGGACGCCCACATACTTGCCACACTGGCAACTCTTCCACCACGACCGCCACGAGCACTACGAACATCATATCGTACGCTTGAAGGGGTAGGTTCCAGCTGATCATTCTTCATCAGCGTTTTGCTGAATGCTGCTGGGATGTTGATATCAGCAACATCTTCCTGAACCGATGATGGCTTCTCCACTGCCTTTGAAGCTACTTTGCTGGTGCTTGCATTGACGTGTGATCGGGGCTTGACCTGTTCCTTGGAAGGCTGAGAAAGGCGAGAGACAATATCTGATTGATCTTGTCGATCGAACAAAGCATGCAGAGCAAGTGAGGACCCACCTTCTGTCTTGTGGCCAGCTTTCCTGTCACTCAAAGTATCATCATTGCCCATCAAAACAGATGGACTTGGTGTTTTTGGTGAAAGTGTTGGATCGACAGCTTGTTCATTTTGCTTCGTTGGTGTAGCCAAGCCGATCTCACGACTGGGAGAGGTGGACAGCCAGCCTGCGACACGTCCAACGGCATCTTTATTGAGTTGACGTTGTTCACCAACATCCACTGCTTTACGTTCGCCCTGCTTCTTTTCAGTTGAGGTTGAAGATAAAGTCTGAGAAGTAGGTTTGTGTTGTTCAATCTTAGGTTTACTATTAGCAGCAGCAGCGGCCAAAAGAGCACTTTGTCTTGCTTTCTTTCTTTCTTCATCAGCTTTCCGTTGCTCTTCGTGTTTCTTGCGCAATTCTTCATCTTCCCGTGCTCTTTGTTCACGTTCAGCAGCTGCCATGGATGTAGCACGAATCACGCTACTTTCAACAATGCTTCCGCTGCTACTCCTTCTTCCCACATTGGCAGCCACGCGTAATTCTGAACTGTCTGCTTTCCTAGGTGAAAGTCTTGAAGGTGATGGTTCACTTTTGCGAGCAGCAGGTATTTTCTTGCTCGAAACAACTTGAGATGGCGTAGGTGTGTTCAAACGGCTCTCCAATGCGAGCAGACCAACACCTTGAGCTGAACTAGGTCTGACAGGCTTCTGCTGCTCTGTAGGCTCATTTGCAGGTGCTCGGAAGATGTCTGCCGCTTTAGGTCTGGAGCTCGTTTTTGATTCTGCTTTGGAAGACTTTTGAGCAGGTGCTTCTGGTAAAGTCTTTTCCTTTGCTTGAGGAGATTGAGGAGGTTGTGCTTTAGCCCTTTGTGGTAACTTGGCATATTCCTGTACTGATTCTTGTCGATTTGAAACGACAAATTGACGTTCATCAGGTACCATTCCCATTTCTCCCATTGCTTTACGCATTTCTTCTTCATCTTCTGCTCTTTGTGCCATTTGTTCGAACTGATCAATATCTCCTCGAGACACGCTTCCGATCAATGTCCTGATTGACTTCACAGTGCCGGCAGCTGATTCGCTGTCTTCCTCAATCGTTGCCAATCCAAGAGGTTGAGCATTGGCACCTAGCAATTGAGAAGGTGAAGGAACGAATGGTACTTGCAATGGTTGCTGCTCGTGGTGATCCGGTTGCACTTCCTGCTTCTGAGGAGCTGGAGGCTCATTGTGAATAGCTTGAACGGTAGGTGAAGGTAGCAGAGCACTACGAGGCTTCTGCTGCTGTTGTTGCTGTGGTGGCTGTTGTCTTTGGGCCACTTGCACGGGGTGTTGTTGCTGTTGTTGACGTCCTGTATCAGGGCTGGGAGCACTGTATCGTCTTGAGTTCTGTTGAGGATTGGTAGACTGAGGTCTTTGCTGTTGTCCTCTTGCAACGTTTTGCATCATTTCAGGAGCTGCAACACTTTGACTACGCATAGGCAATTCTTGAGCTGATGCAGGACGAACGGGCGGTGCAATACTTGCCAAAAGTGCATTCGCAGTCCATGCTTGAGCGTCTGCATTCCATACGATTTGTTGACCTTGTCCATGTCCGGCAGGAACGAATGCAAACGGTTGTGGAGTGGTAGGAGAAGCGTATGGCATTCCATTTCCCATAGCAGCTGCAGCAGATGCAGGACGTGAAGGTGGAGGAGCAGGAGACCATCCACGATGATCTGGAATCATTGGAGATGCAATCTGATTTGGCATGGCTTGTGCTGACTGCTGGAACGGTTGATGGAATTGATGTTGTCCATGTTGTGCCATAGCTGATCGGCTTCTTTGTGGAAGGTCTTGCAATTTCTGCACTGGTCTTGCGACAGGACCTTGAAGACTGTTTGGGTGAGCAACATAGACTGGGATCTCAACATGCAGATCTTTAGCGAAGCTGCCCATCTGTAAGCTGACGATTGCCAGCGTGTGAACCTCAAACAGCCTGGTCTTGCGAATCGTACGTAGCTCACGGGGAATGTCCACGGCCAGATTGACAACTACTTCTTCATTTGGCGGGAATTCGTAGCTAGGCCCTTTGAATAATTGAGAATGTACTTCTTCTGTGACCTGAGGCTCAAGATTGGGTTTTGCGGCCGGCTTGCCTGGAGGTCCACTGACAGGGAAAATCAACCTACGTACCAAGGTCACCTTCATGCCAGACATTTGCCGTTTACTGTTATTCTTGATTCCAGCTCGTATCATGATCATATTTCCTGATGCAAACAGTTGTTCTCCAATAGAAGCTTCTAGCCATACTGCTCCGTTCCCACCCATGAAAACGTGCGTGTCAGCGATCACTTCTACCGGCTCAACATATCGAGGATCGAATTCGTCCTCCCAACGCTCTACCACCGAGGCTTCTGAGCGGACCGTAACGAGGCTCTTTGTTTCGTTCCACCAGGTTTGTACGGTACCTTTGAGTGAGTAGCGTAAAGTAGCATTTCCGCCAAATACGATACTTGAAGGTGCAGTAATAGGCAATCGGAACGAGAATGGGAATGTTGTCCTTCCCTTTCGTGCTGTCCAATGACCTTGAACGGGAGCAGCAGGTAAGACAGCATTAGAAGGTGGCAGATGTTCACCTTGAAAGAGTGTTCGATTGAATAGGAAGATTTGTGTGGCAGAATGATCCCTTGATGAGAGCTCTTCAAATGCTTCAAGTTCGACAGCGATTTCCCCTAATCGTAACCTTTGACTTGTACTTGAAGTGATTTCTAGCATACCCGAAACAGTTTCACCTGCTTCAAAGATGCTCTTTGCCAGTAATATCCTTAGCTTGAGCTTTGGATGTTTGGTGACAGCATGCATTGGCATTGCATCTGTACTGCTTTGGATACCATTTTGCGGGATCATATGTCTTTGAATTTCGGGAAATTGATCAATTTCTGATGGAGGTGGTGGTAAACCTGCTTCTGCACGCCAAGAGAATGAATTTGATCGACGAACACCAGAAATATCTTGTTGACCCGTTTGAATTGGCATATCCATCATCATTGGTGATTGAGGCATATATGGTGACATTTGTTGATTTGGTAAAGGAGCAGGACTCATCACCTGTGGTGCAAACATGGTGAGGTCTGCAAAGTAAGGATGTTCGTTATTATTTCGTTATTGTTCGTAAAAGTGGTCGTTAAAATGTCGTTAATTGAAATTGGATGATGAGAAGACAAGAGCAAGGGTGGAGGAAGATCGAATGCAATGTTTTGAATAGACATTCTTGCAATTCAATTTTTTGTTGCCCGTGATGTAAGAGTAACACTTAATAGGGGTATTACCATCAGCCTTGCATTATGCATGTGTATCCGAACATCAATAAAAACCGCGCTAGTGCCCATAAAAGCCGATCAACTTTCTTTTAGGGGCTTTTTCGTGTTGGTCTTTTAGAAGGCGCGTCGGCAAACAAAAGAAAGATCTGAACGTGATGATAAATGAAGCCACTTCTTGGATTTGAAGGTTGAAAGAAATTTGATGCCTCTCTATCATGAACTGATCAGTAAGATGATGCCATCATTGTGAAGCAGCTAGGCTTTAGTTGCTTGGGTACTGAACCGAGTTGTGCCAAGTGGATGTCGAGTGGAATGAGAAGTGGATGATGATTGCGGGATGAGAAGTGAGTGTTGGTGATAGAGATTATATGGAATGAGAAGTAAGTAATGCTGGTTGGATATGAAGTGATTCTCAAATGAGAAGTGGATCTTTTCTTTGGTTTTTTTCTTCTTGATTTTTTTTTTTTTTGGTTTTTTTTTTTTTTTTTTTTTTTTTTTTTTTTTTTTTTTTTTTT